AAAAGGCAGTTTGAAACGGAGATCAGAGGAGGTCAGAGCTACGGATCTGAGAGGAGAGAGCTTTGAAATCACGGGGAATCACCCATAACCAGCAACCACAGAAAGGAAAAGTATGGGGCTGAGGCAGGCTTTAGGGAGGCCAGGGCAGCCGTAGACAGAGAAGTGGGAAGTAGGACCAGACTGGAAGCAGGGCCAGTCTCAGAACAGAGGGAGGAGAAGGACCGGCAATGCCAAATCTGCAGATTTATTGAGGAGTCTGGGGCTGGGGAAACAGCCATTGAATTGGCGACTGGAAGTGTCTGCAGAGCGGGGAGATCAGAGGTTGGGACAAGAGCAGGTGATGAGGAAGGGAGGATGCCAAAGTTTGAGAGTGGAAGAAAAGGGAAGGTGGGTTCCTTAGCAGAGAGGACAGTAGCCCCCCTCAGATTGAAACTATATGAGAGAGTGTTGGGCCCACAGATTAAATTAAAGAGCAAACTCTAACGAGAGAGTGTGGGCAGATACCAAGCCAGAGAGCTGAGCAGACATCAAGGCGAGACTGCTCACATGATGACTCTGGAAACAGATCCACCCTTATGTTTGAAAATACTTATTATAAAAGTACTTGCACATTTTAAATTCTTTTCTCATTTCCAACCTCCTGAGGGCACAGTGGTTGCCTCCAAGTCCACATGGTCTCTGACCTCGTGCAGCTTAGTCTACATGAGCAGAGACACAGTTTTTCTCTCTCACGTAAAACAAACAGGACACCTGAGCATTAGTATGCGTGCTGCTCTGCTCCTGGCCTTTTTCCAAGAAACGATATGCCTTGGTCCTCTGCACTATTTAGGTGACTGCCTAGCTGTGTTCATTTACATGGTTGCAACAAAATGTACTTAATCAACCCCTGCTGATAGAAATCCTGATTATTTCCAGCATTTTGCTATTACAAATAAAGCAGTTATGAATATCCCTTTAAATATATCTTTGCTCATGTTTATATTTACCTATAGGCTGCATTTCCAGAAGTAAAATCCCTGTCAAAGCTCATGAGAGTCTCTGCAGTAGACATCTGCCACTCTTTCCCGACTGCTCTGTATCTGAAATACTTTCCCATGTTTGGGGGTAACAAGAATCTTGGTGAGGAGCGGCTCTCACTTGCCTATACAGAAGACAAACACCCCAGAGACTAACCTCTCCCATTCCAACATGTGGGCACATGGTTGAGCTCAACCTCAGACTCTGGATCAGGAATAAGGGCCTAGAGAAGCAAGACACCCCAAAGTCCTTTTCAGCCAGGGCAGTGGTACCATGCCACTAGTTCCCAGGGTGTGCTGTGGGTGTAGCCCCAGCTGCCTGGCCTCCTGCCTCTTCCCCAGTTTTGCTAGTGATCTTGTGAGTGCCTCGATGTCTTATCAATCAGTGCAGCTTAGATTCTGTCACTTGCAGTTATGAACTCTGACAGATTCTTCAGTAGCCAGACTCCAAGACGGCTCCCAGTGATTCTTGCCAGTCAGGCTGATCTGGGTAAACAGTAGGATATTGAGGAGATGATAGAGCATGATTTCTGAAGCTAGGTCCAAAAGTGCATTGTGGCTTATGCCTCTCTTATATCACTTGTTTTGAGAGAGACCAGCTGCCATGTTGTCAGGACACTCAAGCAGCGCAATGGAGAGGTTCCTGTGGCAAGTGACTGAGGCCTCTTGCCAACAGTCAACACCAACTTGTGAACCACATGGGTGAATTGCCTGGCATGTGGATCCTCCATGCCCAGTCAAACCTTCCAGTGACTGCAGCCCCACTGACATTTTGCAGCCTTGCAAGAGACCCTGAGCTAGAACCACCCAGCTAAACTGCTTCTGAATTCCTGACCCTCAGAAACTGTGCAAGATAACAAATGTTAATTATTGTTTTAGCCACTAAGTTATAGGATGATTTGTTAAAGCAAAAATAAGTCACTAATACAGATACAATTTTTAATTTTAGTAGTCTACCAAATCACCCTTCAAAAGAGCAGCAGCCATTTGCACTCTCACCAACACCACGGAACCGAGTGCCGAAGGGGTTGGTTGGTTTCAGAGCAGGAAGGAGAGGAGCAGGAACACTGATCCTGATAGGACCCCACCCTTAGCTCCGCCCTAAACTGTGTGCTCCTAAGGTGCCCTCTAACACCCCATCACCACCAAAGGCCCTAGAGGATGGCCATGGAACCCGTTGTTCTTATACAGTCAGGCCCGTGTACAGGGACGGGGCCAGAATCTGGCCTGCTGGGCAGGCAGGATCAGCAAGCAGAAACCTGAGCAGGGACAAGGCCACTGATGCTGAGTCACACGATCAGGCCGGGGCTCAGCAAGTGCCAGTTACAAGGGGTGTGGCAGGCAGATTGGTGGACTCTCTGGGTGGGAAAGGGTTCTGGAAAGAATGGAGAAGCTGAGTAGGCGGGCATCTGTGCTTGGGGCCAAGCTAGTGGATTTCTTGAGCATTTCCGGGCCATCCCGGCCTGGCATCCCTTGCATGTGACTTCGGAGACCCAGGGCTCAGGAGGAGATAGAACTGCAGCAGTGGGGGATGGAAGGCAGAGAGGGGACTGCTATGTCCTGAGCACTAAATATATGCCAGGCATGGAATCTGCCACGTGGAACATCCCCATTTTACAGACGAGGAAACTGAGGCTCAGTGAGGCTGTTACTAGCTTAGTGTCTGAGTTCAAATCCCTAGTGTCTGACACACAACCTCCAGGACAGAGGCACAGCTGATTTGTTTGTTTTCTTTCCCAGTTGCTCGGTTAAGGAGTGCATTTGGCAAGTAGACACCCATCACTTTTTCCAGTGAGAAAGATGACCCCCACAATCCTCACTCTCAGAGCTGTCCCCTCAGGTCATGTTCTTAGAATGTCCCCAAGCCAATGTTAGTGGACCTCCCTTGCCCATGTCTCTCTGATCCTACAAACCTGGAACATCCTTATGAAACAAACACAGAAGGGGTGCCAGTCAGGTGCCGGGCAGCATGCTGGACCTGTAACAGGCAAAGCAGAGTCCCTGCTCCTCAAAGAGCTTATCATCCAATAGGGGAGGAAGAGAAGGGCCCTGCACAATGCCATAGGATGACCACAGAGAACAACTCCAGGGGATGGGAACCCTGAGAAGAGCACCTCACTAGCCAGGGGGCATCAAGCAAGCCTCCCGAGGATAATCTCGGAGCTGAGTCATAAACAATGAGAAGCAGTTTGCTCAGGGAAAGGCAGGAGGGAGTGCTAGGCCAGGAAAGAGCCTGCGCAGAGCCTGGAGGTGTAGTATTCCTAGGCACTGCCAGGTACCGCACACACCTGCAGGGTACTATTCGGGAGGAGAGAAGGGTGGGCACAGGGGCAAGAGATGGGGCAGGAATGGTGAGCAAGCGCAGATCCTGGAAGTGGGGAACCAAAAATTGAAAGGGAGACATTATAAACAGCTTGCAGCTTATACATTATCTAGCTGCCAGCAGACAATTAGAGCAAAATAACGAGGTCAGGTAAACTGGTAGGGGGCCTCTTTAGAGAGCGAGAAGGAACCAATGAAGGCCACGGCCTCGGAGATGGAGGACGGCGACTATAGGTACAAGGCATAAAAGGAGCAGTATCTATAGGACCTGGTGACCAAGAGCTGGCAAAGGGGTCCTATCCCTGGTTTTGTAGCTACATGACCCAGTATTTGTACTTTCTCGTCTTAAGTCCTTTTGTGTTATCCCCTATCATTTACAATCAAGAGATTTTAGTTCTTACGTGGGCCTTGTTGTCCAGAGGTAAACGGATGTTTGGAGTAGTTACACTGTTGTCCCTACTCCCTCTTTCTTTTTTCTTTTCTTGTTAATAGACTTTACTCATTAGAGCAGTTTTAGGTTTACAAAAAAACTTAGCAGAAAGTAGAGTTCCCATATACCTCTGCCCACCCCACCCCTCCAGTTTCTTGTCACGAATATCTTGCATTAGTGTGGTACATTTGTTATAATTAATATGCTCATGGTGATACATTATTAATTAAAGCCCAGTCTACTGTTAGGGTCCTCTTTGTCACACATTCTATGATTTTGACAAATCTATGACCATTATAGTATCATACACTGAGTTTCACTGCTCTAGAAATCCCACGCTCCACCTGTTCACCCCTCTTCCCCCCTCCTCCCAACCCTGGACCTTTTTGCTGTCCCCCTAGTCTTTTTGCCTTTTCCAGGATGTCTTTTTGTTGAAATCATATAGAATGTAACCTTTCCATATGGCTTCCTTCCCTTGGCAGTATGCATTTAAGTTTCCTTCATGTCTTTTTGTGACTTGATAGCTCATTTCTTTTTATCACTTAATACTATTTTTATTGTTGAATTAATACTCCATCATGTGGAAGTACCAGTTTGTTTATCCATTCACCTATTGAAGGACATCTTGGTTGCTTCCAAGTTTTGGCCGTTAAGAATAAAGCTGCTATAAACATTTATGGGCAGGTTTTTGTGGACAAAGGTTCTCAGTTCATTTAGATAAAATACCAAGAAGCACACTTGCCAGATCATAAATGGCAAGAGTCTCTCTATTCCTTTTTCATGTCCAGTTCATCTGGTTGGGAACTGAAGGGTGACCCTACTTGGAAAAATGATGCCTGAAAACCACTAAGTGTTGGGTTTGTGCAGAAACAGAAATGACCCTCCTTGGGGAGCTAAGGGTGTTCTCTTAGGACAGGAGTTCTTACCCAGATCCCATAAATATACTGGAATGATACATGGGAGGGAGAGGTTGTTGGCCCTCTTCACTTTCAAGGAGTCTAGAAAGAGAAATTGAGCTACAGATTTTACCTGTGGCTGAAGAATCTTCAGGGACAGGAAGACAGGCTCGGTGCTGAGAATGCCCCAGAGTGAAGACCAGCCCTCTGGCTGCCACTTCTAGCTCTACTTCAGGGACTCAGTGTCAAACAGCAGCCTGGGCTGGATGTGGACCCTACGAAAAAAACACTCTTATCTCTCCCCCAACTCAAAGAAGACTAGAAGACACATTAACGTGATGGCAAAATCCATTTGCACTGTTTATTTAAAAAGAAAACAGTTGTAAGGTAGAAATGCAGACATTTTCTTTATTGTAAATCAGTTATGAAAGAGAAGTAATAAATGTGATGTTCGGAATTATTTTTAAAAATGCAACAAATGCCTGGTATTTGCGAGCAATCCCAAGAACGCACAGTAACAATGTGCGCTGGGAGTGAGAATAGCTTCACTTCACCTTGGAGCAGATTCTTGAAACTGGCCAGCCGATGATGATGGCCATGAATTTTGGGATTTTGAAAGGCTCTGGATTTGCCACTTAGGACTGTCAGGGGACAACTATAATATAATTTGCATAGACTAAGGGTTAACAGGAATTCTACTCATTAATGTCACTTCTAATTATTCTTTCACTCTTGCAGTTAATTAAGTAGCATAGTATTTAAGAGTACAAAGAAAGGCTGCAAGGGGAAGACATGAGTGGAGGGGGATAGAGAGGGTGGGCCTAGGAGGGATACTGAGAGAACAGGAGAAAGGTCATGGGAAGGAACAGGACTGTAGCTTTTACTACTGTGCATCTTCCCTGCGGCATGGCGTGGCCCCCGTTGGAGAGGGGACGGGCAGCGGTCTGGCCTGGCCTGTCTTAACCCTCACCATCATCCAAGGACAGAAGATGCAAAAGCAGCCGGAAGATCAGACTCAGAATGGGAACAGGGAGGCTGGACGGGAAACAAAGGGGTGGGGACATGAAAGGGAGTGGTGAAGAGGAGAACTACCTAAGAAGATGGGCGACATTAACGTCATAGCCCCCCAGGGACTGTCTCCTCTGAGGACCACCAAAGGAGCATCTGTATGAATTAACACAACAGACCACTCTTTGACGTGGCACAGGAAGGGGACAAGGACAAAGGGACAGGTTGCTAAGCAGAGGCGCGATCTGGCTACAGACTGAGGAGGGAAGGAAAGACAGACAGGCAAGAGGGGCAGTTGGCCCATCCCAGGACCCTCCGGAAGGGGCTCCGCAACAGGGCTGAGAGCCACCCCTGCCACCCCATGAGGCTAAGGAGTTTGCATTGGGTGGTGGGTCTGGAGGCTGGTTGGGGCAAGGGACCAGCAGGGGTGGGGATGCTCAGCCAGCTCTCCCTGGGGGGGGGACTCTGTGAGGCACAGCTGTGGGTGGAGGTCAAGATTACTGACTATGTACTGAAAGCAGCCCTGAGCTCCCGGAAAGCCGCCTGGCGGAGCCTCCTCTTCTCCTCCTCCTGCTTCCGCTCCTCTTGCTCTGCTTTTAGCTCTGCTTCAAACTTACTGGCAGAGGACAAAGCTTGGACCTGCAGAGAAAGAGCAAAAACAGATCAGCGGAGTGAGCAACGGATAGAGAAACTGGGAGACAGAGCAGCCCATCAAACAACTAGTTGTCTGACGCCATGGGACAGAGCACGTGGCAAATACTCTTCGCTTTGGTCTTCAGAAGTTTGCTGTCTGTCAGTGAGGACACCATCACTATTTGCTGCCCTGTCACCTATGCCCCAGCCACTGGGTGGCCTTTCCACTTCAGTCCTTTTTCAGGACACTGTGTAACACTGGAGGTATAGAGAAGGTCTTCTATACCCACCCACCCCCACCCCACCCCCCATGTACTTTCTACCTTTAACTTCACAATAACATTGTTTCATTCTAGGTGGGAAAATGCAAAAATAAAAACAAAACGAACTTCCGGCTGGGATTTATATTAGGATTGTACCAAGTGGCCTGTGGCAAAGGGATATCTTTATAATACACAGTTTTCCCTGAATGCCTCCGTTTTTATTCAATATTGCTTTTATGTTACCCACTACAATTTTCAGTTTTCTCTAAACTGATCCTCCCAAGTTTACTTCCAAATATTACGTTTTTGTTGGTGTCATAAACGGGATTTGGTGCCATTATTTTAAAACCTAAATTACCTTCAATAACATCATTATCAGATAAATCCATCTTAAAATCCTCTATTCTAGAGCTGATGTCTCTCCACATCTCATCAGTTTGGTCAAATTTCCAAATGCACCTGGTGTGTACCTTACTTTAATAAAGACCGCTAAATAGCTCTCCAAAGTCGCTGTTCCAATTTACACCCCCACCATCAGGGGCTGCAGGTATTCATTTCCCCATAACCTCGCCAACATTTATTGGTAACCTCTTTCCTATTTGCCAATCTGACAGGCAAAAAAAAAAAAAAAATTGGCACCTTCTTTTATTTCCTCTGTGGCAAATTACCCATTTGTATCCTTTGTCCATTTTTCCTTTCAGCTGGAGAGGTTTTTTAAAATTTAATTTAACAATTCTTTCCATAATTCAGGTTTAATTCCTTGCTATATGTTTGTCAGTTACTTTCTCCCAGGCTTTTGTCTTTTTTTCAAGGTATCTTGGGCCACACACACTTAAATTTTGAGGTAATCAAATTTTTTGGCCATATCCTTTCTGGCTTTTGTCTTTTATGTAATGTTTAGGAAGGTGTTCTATAGACAGTGAAGCACAGAAAAGAGAAGTAGTGACTCTGTGGCATCTTACTACATTGATGGACAGTGACTTCGATGGGGCATGGGAGGACTTGATAATATAGGTGAATCAGTAACCACTATATTTTTCATGTGAAACCTTCATGACACTGTATATCAATGATACCTTAATAAAAAAAAAAGGTCTTCTATACCCCAGTGTTCTAAACCCATTTTCCTGTGTTTTCTTCCAATACTTTTATAATTTTATTTCCCCATTCAGGTCTTTAAGTCACCTGCAATTTATTTTAGTGAGGGATTCTACTTCATTGTCCTAAGGGGAGGGGAAATTGTCTTGACTTCATTTATAGAATAGCCCATTATTTTCCAACTGATTCAAAATTTTTCTTTTTCATATACTGATTTCCTAAATGAAGGAGATCTGCTTTTACTATTTTCCATCCTATCCCACTAACTGGTTTGTTTATTCCTGTATCTACACTATTACTTATTTAATATTACTGCTTATAGAATGTCTTGATACTTATAGGGAAAGTAAATATTCTCTTATGCTTAAAAAGCATATTGTTTTCTTATTTTTAAATATGTCATTAGGAGTGAGTACTGAACTTCACCATAGGTCTTCGAAACATCTAACTGAAATGATCACATTTATTTAACCTATCAGTGATATGAGTACAGTGTATTTTTAAAATTATCCTGTCTTAACATCAATTTCAAATGTTATAATCATATTCCATTTCCTAATATTTCAAGAGTCTTACAGCTATATTAATTAGATTGATTTTTTTTCTTACGTTATTTTTATCTGATTTTGTTGTCAAAATCATCATGGCTTTAGAGAATGAGATGTAATCTTTTTCAATGTTTGAATTATTTTATAGCATTGAAAAAAACATGTAACATTGAAGAATGAATCCCTAAATTCCTCAATACTTAGAAAATTGCTTTCTTGAACAGGGAGAAGGCTGGGCAGAGTTGTTAACTTCAAAATGTGTTTATAATTCATGTTTTCTAATTATTGTCTCAAGTCTGTAACAAAGCATTCCCATCATTGAGTCTTTAATGATGTGAAATATGTCATAATTGCTTATTGTTTTTAGCTAGCCTGTTCCTGTGTCCATCACCTTCTCTGGGTTTTTCCTCGGCTCCCTATCACTAGCTTCCTCTTCTGGGCAGCTCCTTAATACGTTCTCTGCTTCGCCCATCACTTCTCTACAGTGTCATGGCTGAGATTTACCATTTCCTACAATTGCTCTTCATCCTGATTTTTATTTCCTTACATATTTTGTAGCACAATGCAGATTCGCATATCTCAATGAAAAATCACCTTTTTCCAAATTCTCCCTGCATTCCATTGGGGTCCATTTCCGAGAACAGAACACCTTTGAGAATTAATAGGACATGTGTTTTTACTCTTTCCAAATTGGAGTCCCTACAGGTAGGGGCTAGGGAATTGTTTTCCACACTTCTCAGGTGTTCCTGGGGCACCTGAGGCCCTGCCCTGGCCGCACAGCTCCCCACTGTCCTCTGGGTCAGCAGTTCTCAGCCCTGCTCCTACACTAGAGTCCCCCAGGATTGATTTAATTGCCTAAAGAGGGCCTGGCCTATGCTACTCTTACTACCCGGGCCCAGACTTGGGCTGAAATTCTGAATGGTGGGTCCCCTTCTCTGGCCCCTGTCCCTCTCCCCCTCACCTGCTCTTTCCTGACTATGGCAAGAAGTCCAAGTTGGAGTTTGCAATACACGCAGCTCCTCAAGTGTCCACTGCGGCTGTAGAACCTACAACATGGGTTCCAGCTTCCAGTCCCTGGTGTGTTGGCCTCATCCTGGTTTACTTTCCAACCCAGAAACGGACACCTGGCGATCTCTGCAGCCGCCTGTCACAGTCCCTCCCACTCCCAGGACCTGCACTTCTGACACACCTCACCTCTCCCCCTCAGCCCAAGTCGCACCCCTAGAGCAAGGAGTCTGTCTGCTCCTACTTGCAGGCTAAGGATACATTTTTCTTTAGACCTTACACAAGGACAGTGGTGCGTGGATACACTGGGAGGTGAGGATTTCCAGCTTGGGCTCACCGCCCCCTTCACGGATCCTGCCACTTTCAGCAGCCCATCTCCTCATCATTTAGAAACACGAGGAATGCAGTCCTTCCTCTCCGGACTCCTCTCCCACCTGCTGCCTTGCCCCTTTCCCTGTGCTTCAGGGTGGGCGAGAAATGAGACCCCAGCCATGTCTTTCTACATCTCTAGGCCCAGAGGTGCGGTGGGGCTGCTGGTGCCTGCTTGCAAGCCGATTGCTTGATTTTCAGGAATTGTGTGGGCTGGCTGTTGAATATAGCCATTATTTAAAATTAAGTTACATAAACTTACAATAATATTAACAACAAAATAAGTACTAGATTATAAAAGTAATACATACTTATCACTTCTTGGTTATTGTACTACATTTTACTATTGAGGTTATCTAGGTCTATCGTATCTCTCAGGTGGAAATCCTACACAATAGTGTGCTACTGGGAATCTCCCCATCTCCATGTTCAGTGACGTCCCATTGGCAGCTTGAAAGTGACCTGGGTGAGAGTATCTACACCTTGGAAACCAACAAATGTTACAAATTAGGGCTTGACTGATTGTCCAGACCATCATTTCTTAAGAAAGTGAAGGAAAAATGTTTAAAATGCAGATTAAACTAAAAAAACATGTAGTATCTGTTCACATTATAAATAGCTCCAAAAAACTGATAATTTTCTTCCAGTATATGAAAACTATTATCAAATTCAGCAGAGAAGTTGCTCACATCAAGGAATGAAGTTATGACATATGTCCTTTCACTTTTTTCTTACATATTAACTTAAATTGACAACCAACATTCATGTTGAAACTACATTCTTTTGTCAGTTGTATCCATAGACTGGCTACAGACAGAAGAGTCCAGGAAAAATCAGGAGCCATTCTTTGAGAATCAATAGGCTATGTGGAACTTACAATAAAAGTCATTACATTTTATTATCTATAAATTGTGTGCTACGTGTCCTTTATATAAATTTTTGTAATAAACTTATGCATGTATATGTAGCCATACTTTGTTCAGAGAGCCAGTTGCTGAACATTTACCAACAAACCACTGTCTAAGTCTCAGTTTCCTCATCTGTAAAATGGGACACCACCAGCTACCACCAGTGTTGACATGAGCACTAGATAAGACATGAATCTGCAACACTCAGCAGAGCGTCTGGCCAATCATCAGCACTCATGTTTGTTGACCACCCCACCTGCCCACCATTCCTGCTTAGATCGGGGGGAGGGACTCTTGCAATCACTTCAGTCAGGGCCCTTCTTCTCCACTATTATCGTCTACCTCTTCTCTCAGTTCTGTGACCTCCAAGTCCTTGTGCCATCAATCACCCGACTCTTTATCTTCATGTTTCCTTCTTCCTGGACCACTTCCCTGTGACCTAAACACATACTATAATTGTCCTCTCTAGGCCAAAAAAAACACCAAAAGTTCTTCCCTGATCTCAGTAACTCCAGACACCAACCCCACTTTGTCCAGACTTCCTCTGCCAACCTTCTAGACAGAAAAGTCAGCCTTCAGGGCTCTTCCTCCCAGTTCCCACTCACCTCTTACCCTATTGCAATCTGCCCTGTGCATTGAACCTGGCCTCTCCAAAATCCACCAGCCTATTTGCTGGACCCACGACTTCTACTCTGGCCTCATCTGATTTAATCTCTTCTTGAAATTGCTCCTGTCCTCCAAAACAGCATTTTCTCCAGGGCTTCCTTGTATCTCTGGTTACTTCCATCTCCCAGCCCAGTCACCATTATGTTCTACCATTGGTCAATCTTCTTTTGTTCTCAGGTTGCAACTTGTACTTTCTGAAAACAGGTTCTGCGGTCTGTGTGGTTGGGTGTCCACGAAGCATCTACTTCTTTCCTTCTTTTTTTCCTGTAAGATACTCCCCTGACACTGGCCTAAGGCTGACCCCACCTCTGGGCTCCACGAGAGAGTCTGACCAGGGTAAAGATACTCTCGCTCTTGCCAGTGGTTGGTTTAACAATGGACATATATGGAAGAGAGTATCCCATGACCCTCCGTATCTAGTATTCCCCATTTTCCCCAGTAGCGGAATTACAGCTGGATACATGGATCCCCAGGAAAAAGGCATTTTTCTGTAGCTGCCCATGAAAACAGGTATAGCCAATGTCTGTCCAACATGATGTGAGCAGAAATATTTACAACCAACATTGTACCCTTCAAATGAAAGGGTATGTCTTTGCCTTGCCTAAAGTCCCCTCAAACTTAGCACTGAAACCCAGTTTATAATTTTTACTCCTTAAACTATTCCCAAATTTGGGGGTGGGGTGGGGGTCCTGTCTTGATTTAAAACAGTATCATCAAGCCCTCTCCACACAGCTCTATAAACCTTGTAGCGTCTTACTTCCCACCTCAATCGCGTGGCCATAAATACAGAGAGCTCTAGGGAGCTTGGGATTCATCCCACATCCTCCCCACCCTCCTTGTCACTACCCTCATTGAACCTACGATTGTTACCAGACATCTGTGGAAGCCTCTGGGAGTCAGCTTCTCCCCAGACAAGTCCATCCCGATAGTGCCTACTGCTGATCACGTCAAGGCCAGCGCCTCAGCTGTGCTTTCCCAGGTAGATCTCGGGGGAGCTTGGGAAGCCGGTCTATACAAAGTTCTGGTGGTCAGCAGGCTGAGGACAGCCTGACCTTCAGGGAGACCGGAGCTCCCTGGGAGACTGCATCTGGTGAGGACAAAGGACAGCCTCCCCACACTCCTTACTTCCAGGCCGCGGGGTCTTTGTTCTTGCCCGCCATTCCCACGGCAGGAACGCCTTCCCTTCCTTGATTACAAGGTGAATCCCTATTCATCTTTGAACATCTGTCACAAACGTCAGCTCCTTTATGGCCCTCTCCCAATTTCAAGTGATGATTCCCTCCATTCGTCATTCATGCAAACGTTTAATGAGGGCCATTATGTGCCAGGCACCGTAATTACACAGACAACACACTTACTTGGCCTTTGAATCTGGGTGAGGAGGCAGACACATAAACATAATAAGTCCAAAAAGTTTTATTGTTATTCTTTTCATCTTTTCTCCTAGTTATAAAAATAATACACACACATTATAAAACATTACAAAATGTAAAAAATAAGTCCCTCAGACATAACTATTACTAATATTTATATATACGACTATCCAGGTTGCATTTAATATTCAACAAAATTGGGGTTTAAGCATACTGTTTTGCTTAATTCATTCTGCATATCTGTCCACACACAGAGGCAAGCTGCTCCTCATTTTCTGATGGCTACAGGGTGGGCAATGGTGTGGTGTATCACAGTGCACTCAATTCAGTTCTCTGGTAATGGAAGTTTGGTTGTTTCCAGTTTTTTCCTATTATCACATTGCTGCATGAAACTCGTCTATATGTCCACGTGCACACTGCCCAAGTGCCTCTGAAGGCTAAATTCCAAAAGGCAGAATCCCAGAGGTAAAGGATACCAAATGCTGACAGCAGCCCCAGACGGCTCTCCAACAAGTTGGGTCAGATTCTACTCTTACCCGAAGTGGCCAAGAATGCCTTGAACAGATGAGTTATAATACCACTTCCTCTGTGACAGAGGCACACGGAAGAGGGTGGACTTTCTGGGTCAGGAGAACCAGGGAAAGCAGCCAAGAGGAGGCAACTCTTTAACCTGGGTCTTAAAGAATGAGAAGAATTTTCTAGGAAGAGTAGTTTGGGCGGGGCATTCCAGGCAGAAGGAGCCGGTGCTGAGGCCCACTTGGGAAAAGGCATGGCAGTATTTGAAGACATGCACACAGGGGTGGATGAAGCTGGAGCAAGGATCAGAGCCAGATTATATAAGGTTGAGAGGCCCTATCAGTGGCCTGAGACAGTGTCACACTACACTTGTGTCTCAATCCTAGGCCCCAGCCCAAGGCATCATAAGAGATCTGCAAGCCTGGGCTCAGCTGATAAATGGAGAGGACTCATCCCACCAGAACTAACCCATCCCTCCTCTCGACCGCCTCTCTATCCAGGCTGAGAATTTGTTTTCCTCAGCCGACCGTGTGTGCGCCCTGGGGAGGGTGAAAGTTTTGTGCGCTTCACCCTTGGGTAGGACTTGTATTCCCAGAGCTTAATGAGGTGCCCAGCATTGCTGGAGCTGGGCAGAATCAACGTTAGGTCACGAAGGAAGGGCCAACCCACTTTCGGGATTGGGCACCCATGGCTGGTAACTGAAGGCACAGTGAGTGTTGGCCTGTCTCTGAAACTGTCAGATGACAGCAGTAGGAATTCAGGGTAGGAATCCATGATTCACAGTTTTCCGATTGTCAGAAAGATGATGGAATCTATCTCCAAGCACCATCACAGAGAAGAGAAATGGAGTCTGGCTTAGGTGTTGAAGCAGCCTGGGAAGTGTCACCAAGGACCCTGGGTCTCTGGGAAAACTCCTGGAATAAGCCAAACTTCACGAGAGGCTGGCTCCGGCCTCGTCTGGAAGGGAGTCCCAGCAGCTCACATCACAAATGCAGTGCTCACCGTGAGCCAGGCACTTGCTAAACACCTTACATATGTGAACTCATTCAGTCCTCTTGGCAATCCTATTATTACGGCTTTTGCTCAGATGAGGAAACGAAAGTGCTAAGAGGTAGGGTAAGTAGAGGAGGTGGAAGCTGGCCCAGGCAGCCTCCCCTACTGCTCTCTCCCACTCTGGTCGTCAGGGATCTGGAAGGCTCTCCTGACCTCTTTCTGCAAGTGTGCTCTGCGGAGATGAAAATGACAGCACCCAGCCAGGGGCAGGCTCTCAATAAACGTTCAATGACTGGATGCACATGGGAATGAATGGAAGCCTCCAGAAGGGCTGGGGGACCACACTGGAGATTCTCTCCCAACTCCCAAAACCTTCAAAGGAGCAAATACCGACTGGCTGGAGCTCCCTCCTCTGGCTCCATTACGCACTTGTTTACACCCAGGTATTTTAAATAAGATGTAAGTGCTTAAGATGTGGAGGTAGCTGTTCAGGTAACTCAGCTGTGGTTCAGATGAGGGGACTCTTTAGGAAAGTCTGGATCAAGAGCCATCCTGGGGGCACTGGACCAGCAAGCGCATTTGAGTTGGGAACCAGAGTGGCATATGTTCACCATTTGGTTGTTTTCCATTTGGTTTTTAATTTTCAGATTGCACACAGACACACTCTCATGTTGCTTCAGTCAATCACACGCGATGCGGTGACTTAGCTATTGCTGTTGCATTGTCCTGGGTGAGTTAATAACAGAGGCACTGACCAGGAGCCCCTGTTGGGCAGGGTGACAGGAGGCAGTGATTGTCCTGCACAGGAAGGAGGCACTTACCTTGGCTTCAAAGAAGTCCTTGGCACCTTTGACACCCTCCTGGGAAACATCGATCTCGGAGAGCTTTGCCAGCGCCATCAGCCCACTGTCCTCTTGCAGCTCCCCCACCGCGGCCTTGTGGAAAATGAGCAGGAACTACAAGGGAAAGGTTGATGAGAGTCAGAGACGCCCCCTCAGAGATTTGCAGTCATACCCACTGACCCCAGCTGGAGTGATTATCACCAGGCCTATGAAACAGGAAATGTGTGCATGGGACCAGTCATTTTTTGTCCTTATCACAGTCTCAAAAATGAAAACATGCCCATTTTTCACAAAGATATAGGGAAACGGGCACCCTCCTTTCTAGCTGGTGGGAGTGTAAATCCATTCAAACTTTCTGGAGGGCACTGTGGAAATATTTACTAAAAATAAAATGTTTTCACCCTTTCAACCATTAATTTCACAGCTGGGAGTCTATCCCTCAGAAACATTTAGACAATAGTTTAAGAAGCATTATCTTTGGTTTATAAAAACAAAAAACTGGCAACATCCTAGTATGCAGCCATGACAGAAAAATCCATAGACCTCTATGCACTGTTTTTAATTTAACATTTCTGATGGTTTTTAATCATTCATATTTTCCATTGGTGTCTCATTTTTGCATTAGATTGCTTGCCTCTTTGTTTTCTAAAAAATCTTAGTAGAACTTGGTATGTTTCAAATACTTTAGTTCTGCCACTTGCTCTTTTTTTTCTTAGTAGACTTTACTTTTTTTTCATTTTTTTTTCATTTTACCAAATGTACATCACAGTGGTTCAGCAGTCTCCCTCCCCTCCCCCTTGGGAACCACTAGTCACTTCTCAGTGTCTATGAGTCTAATGCTGTTTGGTTCCTTCTATTTCGCTTTGTTTTTATATTCCAAAAATAAGTGAAATCATATGGTATTTGCCTTTCTCTGCCTGGCTTATTTCACTGAGCATAATACCATCTAGATCCATCCATGTTGTTACAAATGGCAGGAATTATTTTCTTTTTATGGTTGAATAATATTCCATTGTGTTTATGCACCACATCTTCTTTATCCATCTATCTTCTGATGGTCACTTAGGGTGCTTCCATATCCTGGCTATTGCACCACTTGCCTTCTAATTTTGTTTATGGTAATTCTTGACTTGCAAAAATTTTACACAAACTCTATCAATCTTTTGCTTTTTTCCTCACCAGTGCACCAGTGCTATGCTTAAAAACACCTTTCTTACCTTCAAGGTTACAAAAACAACCACCTGTGTTTTTGTCCACTGCTTTTATGACTTTTTTGTTAAACATGTAAATATTTAATCTCTGTAATTTATTCTGATCTATCATGTGAGGTTGATCATTAACCTTATTTTCTTCCAAATGGTTAGTTAGTAATTCCCACATCATTTACTGAATAACCCATCTTCTTCCTCTAGAGCTAAAATGTGACCTGAATGAATTCATCTTTAAGGCCAACTTGTACTAAAGCCTCCAGTGAATACATTTTTAAATAAATAAATAGGGCAAGCTGAAAAGGCAGGTCCCCATCTTTCCCCATCCTTCTCCCCTAAGGCAGCTTTATGGCTTTTACTTCTCTTCTTTAAAGAATTTTTGTGAATTTATTTGTCAAGCAACTGCTATCCAACTTCTATAATTTATTCTTCTATTTGGAAAGAATGTAAAATGGTGTATTCCAAGTCATCGCAGAAAGAGGCTTCCCCAGATTCTCAGGTGCTACCTAAAATCCATGTGCCTAAAGGGAAAGCTCGGGTTTTCAGGGTTTCGTTTCATAACCACCTCCGTTAAAGAATGCTTCCCCACGGGAAAAGAACATTACCTAAAGTAGTGTGAGAGGTCAAACAACTTCAACGGGCTTTCCGAATTCCAACTGGGGTGTCTTTTACTGCCAAGACTCAATCCCTGAGGGAAGAGTGTTTCACTAAGTGAAAATCTCAGCCTCCACTACTGTCTCTCAAAAATACCTTGCTAATAAACCTTTTTTTTTTTTTAGTTCTTGCTTTGAGGATCCTAACTCCCCTGTGGACAGCGCCGAATGTAAAGCAGGGGACGATGCTCAGAGACTTGCAGCTGGCCCAGGTCTCTGGGGGCAGCTGGGCTCAGGGTGGCTCCACAGTTGCCACGTTCATCCACCTGCAGCTTCAAACTCTCTCACTAGAGGCCGGCAAAGACTCAGATTGCTGCAGGCTCTCTCAGCCAGAACACTGGCTCCAAAAAAGTCCTGGAGAACAAGTCTGCTAGGGGGATGCGGCCTCCGAGAACACGGTGGAGGGCAAGTGGGAAGCGTGGGTTGTGGCTGGGCTCTCTTGGAAGAGATTGAAGTGGCAAAGACTTCAGCCGCTGCAAATGTGAGCCATTTGCAAAGAGAAGGAGGGAAACACCCGTCCCTCTGTCCCTCAGTCCCCTACCCACCCTTAAAACATTTAGTCACAGAACCTCCACCACCCCCGCCACTCCACAAGGCAAACACAAAAGAGGTCGCCTCTCTATACCCAGGAGACAGCTTAGGAAAGACAGCACTGCCCCCAGCCTAGCAACAATCAAGAGACCTTGGAGGTTCTCTTCACCCCCGACTCATTGTTCTCACATCTAGAGGGAAGATGATCATGTACAGAAGGGCTTAAAGTATTCCTCATGGGTCTTTCCCCCAGAGCAGGTCCTGGCCACACGAGCTCCCTCTCATTCTGCCCGTTCAGCGGATGTCTCAGAGCAGCCCTGTTGTGACTCGGGGGTACCCCCACAGCAGCCAGTTAAAGAAAAGAAAATCCAGCCCAACCTGAAAATCTTCAGCCTTTCCTGTAATATGCCAGACATTCCCATTTAATTTTATTATAATCACCAACCCCTGACTGACAATTTCTCCAACTGCCCAGCCTTGTTTGTCTTCCTATTTATAGTCCACAAAGACTGGTATGTTGTGGAGAGTTGGAAAGGGTCCTAGCTGTGACTGTGAGCAAAGGGTGGGGGGAGGGAAGGAGAAGCAGAAAACAAGAAAACAGAGAGAACTAACAAAGCCAAAAAGCAATTTCTGACACAAGCTTAACAAATGCTTCTGATAAATTAAAGTAAAATTTTAATTTCATGGCTCTGCCCAGTGATGCAAACATTTCCCTTGTATTAGAGCTCTTAGAAAGCAAGTGACAGAAACATACTTGTTGGCTTAGGCAAAAAGGAAGTATTCATTATATAAAAAGGATGTCTCAAAAATCCAACGGCAAATTACAGTAGATATAGTAGCCTGGAAGAGGGCTGGAACTGGGAGAGACGACACCATCATGTCTGATCCATGTGGTGGAAAATCGTGTCCCACATTCAGTTATTCTAGCAGGGACAGCCACCTGGACATCCAATTACCAGTACTTCAGCCCCAATTCCAAATTCCAGGATAGCAAATCCAGTTGACTTAATCTGGTCTCCAACCATGGCCCAATTGACTACAACTAGGCTCGTGGGCAACCCAGCAGAGGCAGGGCTGCCAGAGATGCACCCTGTAGAGGTGTGGTAGAGGAGAAAAGGGACCACAGCTCCCAGTACTGAAGGTATCCTGGAAACCCACTACTCATCCTGTGTACAAAACCACTGCACATCTGGCCTTGGAGCAATCGGACTTGGAGACAGATGTCATGGAGTTAGTGAGGACTACAAAAAAAAAGAGAACATTAAGGCTTTGCTGTCTGGCTCCAAAGGAGAGTAAGATAGAGAGCGCCTGGCATCCAATTCTAGATCACTGGAACTCAGTCACTAGTTGTCAATAAGAACTGCTCATTTTGTCCATCCTTACTTCTTCTACATGTCTGCACACACACACATAAACCATAAATGAAAACAATCATATTTTATATACAGTTTGGTAATCGGTTTTTGTCCCTACTTTTTATACTGTCAACATTTGTTCTCTGGTCATCAAACATTGCTGCATCATCATTTTTAATGATTCCATGTATGCCATTTTCTAAAATGCCCCTAATGTGCATGGATTATTTTCATAATTGCAAAATAAATTGTTTCCTTGTTCACTGGAGAAAAGCAGCAAAATAGTACTTAATGGAGACATACCTTCTGTGTCAGAAAGCTCTCATTTGGGTGTGACTTGCTTCAGTCGAATTAATCCAAAGAGAAAGAAAGGGAACTTACACATTCACTAAGCACCTACTGAGTGCCAGGTTGTGAGGAAGGGACGGTAGAATTAAGCAATTTTGTCTCTCTGGTAAGCCCTGCGCCATGGCGCTGGGGACAGCACCCTATATGGAAAGAAAAGATGAGGTGGAAACAAGGAAGCACAGTCAAGATATGGCAAGAGGAAGGCCCTGCATTACTTGTGCCTAAACACTTCTACTTTTTCATCTCCAGTAGTTGTTTGTTTGTTCTTTTCTTGGTTAAATTAGTTGGCATTCTCTTTCTGTCACTTGCAATGAAGAGTTCTAACTGTTACAGGCATGAAAAAAGAAATTCATTCTCCCAACAGTCCTGAGAGAAAGCTATTAACAGCCCTATTTTAAAGACAGAAAAACTGAGGCTCAGAAGTTGCTCAAGTTACTCAGCTCCATGTGGAAGACGAGGTCTGTGAGCCTCTTCATTACATGGGCACAGCACTGGCCCATCCGTAGCTTACAACATGGGTGGAAACCAACAGACTGAAACGCTGAAGGCAGGGGGCTGGGCTGTGGATATCGATGGCAAACGTGTCTCCCCGGCCAAACACTGTACCTGCTAGAGGTGGGACCACAACGGGGCTTTGCACTGACAAAGGGTGGATGTGCATGTCACTGAGGCTTTGTAGGGGCCACTGATGTCCACTATCTGTGGGAAGTGGCCCAACCAGCAGCTAACCGAAAGCTAACTAAGCATCCTGGGATCAGGGAGGAGCACTTTGGGTGGCCCCTGGGTAAAACGGGGGAGGGATTATGTTCTGGCTCAGTGGGTAACTTGCACAGACCTCTCAACACCCTCTTGATTTCGGTTCCCCAGAGGTCACAACTTTGCCACAGAAGCTCTTTCTCCAGCATTGCTTCAAAGCTTCACCAAGGCAAAAGCTTTCACCTTCTATGCCCTACGGGTACCAGGGTTGGGAAGAGCAGATGCCCATCAGGATGCAATATGATACAAAGAAACCCAATGAGAGTCGGGGGAGCCACAGGGCAGCTGTGCAGGCGAGCATGGTGGGTGATGATGGGAAGCTGTGTGGCTCGCTGGCTGCCACCCAGGCCCAGCCCTGAGCTGGGGACTGATTTCAGGCTAGTGCTGACCTTTTGGCCCTCTAGTTCCTTAGCTCTGAAATGAGAAGTCTGGACTAGATCACCCTTAGGGTTGGGCCCAACACAGGTTTTCCGTAATCTACCTCCACTCTGCCAGGTCAGGAAGGGAAGGGATGGGAGAGCCTGGAGTTGATCTGTGGGCAGTGAGAGGCAAGGCCAGTTTTATCCCAGCTGGAGAGGGAACTCACGGTGGCCAGTTCAGCTACAGAGACCCAGGAAGAGCCTCTGAGGGCCCCATCTAGCCTGGACAGAAGACAGGGGGCCAATACTTGGCCCAAGTTCTCTCCATTGGAAACTAAGACACAGCTCCCCTTGTCTGGAGTAGCCAAGGTGTTCACCAGAAAGCAAGGACAGTCCTCTCTCCTCCCAGCTCCTGGGGCCCACCTGGCACGCAACGGAAAACAAGACTATAGCAGCTATGAGCCCAGATGCTGTCACCAAAGTCATTCTAATACCAGGTCACACTGACACATCTAGAGGCCTCTCAATAAAACTCAGACACGTAAGACATCAATTTCCCATCCTTGTGGGGCTGCATCCTTGCCATGGAAGAAACCCAAGACTTGGGACTTGAGACTTCCCCAAAATGAAACAGACTTATCACCAAGGTTCTCACCCACTGAGGGTGAGGCTGTGAATCTACTTGCACTCTGCCGGAGAGATATCTGGCTTTGCAAAACTTTGCCTACAATTTCAGGGTTTCAAAGACCAGAATGCCCATTCTTGAACTGTCTGGGGCTGTCCATGCACACGGAATAAGAGCCCCCTTTTTTACTTTATTGAAGTGATTATAAAAATTAAGTTTTAATACATACAGATGTGTAACATTACAAAACTACCAAAACCTTGCATCTCCCAGATACCATGAATGTTCTGGTGAACATCCTTCCAGATTTCTTGATATTTAGCATTTTATCCAAATGAGGTTTCCTACCCAACTGACTTTTGATCTGTGTACTGGGCATTTCCCCATGCCAGCACTGTGGCTCACCAGCTCCTCAGAGATATTTCTAGAATTGTGGGGTAAATATTCAGGCAGTGCTCTGGAGAGGCCAGAGCCACTTGTCTGCGGGACTGTATGTCTGAGGTCCCCTCAGAGTCACTCCCCCTCCGAGGGCTCAGGTAAGCAGGTACCTCACGTAAGCTCAGTTTGCCGTCAAAGTCCTCGTCCACCTCCCTGATCATGCTCTTCAGGCCCAGGTGGGTCTGGGGGGCCCCCAGCTTCTCCATCATCAGCTTCAGCTCCATCATATCGATGAAGCCATCCCGTCCAGCGTCATACCTGCAGGAGCAAAGGAAGGAAGCTGACTAGGGATGGCCGGGCTAAGATGAAAGGACTCTTGTGACTCCCCCAAATGCGTAATTCTTTTGGCCTCATTTTCTGAAAAATTACTCAAATGCTTCCTGTTTTGCAGTGCCCAGCCAGGTCACTGAGTAGGAAGGGACCTCACTTCTCACAATACCTTTGGACTCTGCCTGACACACTTCACCATCAGTTCCAGACAACAGCCACAAGTTTCTTGAAGATGAGAAGCAAGCCTCTTTACCTTTATTTCCCCAGTTTTGGTCAACAAACATCAGGACGCTCCTGAAGCTGGATATGCCCCACACAACCACTATCTTCACACGGGGAGTCTGCTGGGTCTCGGACACCCATTTCCACGAACCCTCCGTCACCCTCCAGTTTCCTGCCTGTGGAAGCTAGTTCCCACCCTCACACAGGGCTGTGAGTCACGCCTGGCCCCGGCTCTCTGGTCTCCAGGTCTGAAAGGCCACATCTGTGTGAGTGACTGCTGAGAGGGCCAGCCCCTCCGCTGGCTGCCCCTCCAGGCTCCAGGCCCCTGTGGAAACAAAGCCAGCCTCTCCAGGGTGGGAGCCTTCCTCAGCTTTGTTCTCCGCCTTCTCCCAGCCACTCCCAGCCCCCACCCCAGCCTGCCTCTTGGCACACTGGGCTGTCACAGGATTTTCTCATGAACTCCCAGGCTCTCTTCCCTTCAAGCCCATCCCATTTTCCACTCCCCAGAGATCCTCTATTGCTCAGGCATGAACACCTTACTCTAAAAAACAAATCAGTTCACAACAGCCAAAAGGTGGAAACAACCCACATGTCCACTGATGATGGATGGATACATAAAATGCGGTATATACATGCAAGGAATACGGTATATTTATACAACAGAATATTATTCACAATAAAGGGGAATGAAATTCTGACACATGCTACTACATGGATGAACCTTAACAACATTATGCTGGACTTGAAATAAGCCAGACACCAAAGGACAAATACTGCCGAATTCCACTTCCATGAGGTCCCTAGAACAGTCAAATTCACGGGGACAGAAAATAGAACAGTGGTTCCCAGGGGCTGGGGCAGGGTTGGGATGGGGAGGTAATGTTTAATGGGTTAGCGTTTCAGTATAGGATGAGGGAAAGTTCTGGAGACAGATGGTGGCAATGGTCACACAGGAGTGTGAGGGCACACTAAGCAGGACACTTAAATGGCTATGATGGCAAATCTCATGTGTGTTTTCCACAATACAAACTGACAAATCAGGCTGCTTCACTATCTATCACCTCCCTCAACAACACAACCCACCATTGTTAGGAACTGCACCACCACCCTCCGACAAATGCAGCCTGCGGGCAGCAAGAAATCTAACTGTGGTGGCATTTGAGATCCATACGGTCTGGCTGGCGATGAGGCCCCATACTCCCCACATGCTGCATTCCCACCACAGTGGCTAACTCATGCCATTCCTCCCACTAGGAATGCACCCCACACACCCCACTCTCTCCAGTGGCCTTTCCTACTGGAGCACAGAGAGCTGCCCCTCCCTCCTCTGACCTCCAGCAGCGCCAGTCTGGCCCTGGTACTGGGCAGGCACCACCTCCCCTGCTGGTATTTCCTAACGCGAGCAGCTCTGTGCTCCACGCAGGCTGCTCCTTGCCTGGAAGACTCACACTGCCAGATGCTAAAGGGTGCAGATGAGCCCCCAGCATGTCCGCTGGTGAGCTCTGAGGACACTGAAAGACAAGACAGATGCTTCAGGTGTGGAAGTGAGCAGGACGCTTCTGCTTTCCAGGAAGTGGGCGGAGTATACGAACCCCAGATGGACCAGGCCAGGATCTGGTATCATCAAAGGGTGGTTTGTGAGCACTTAGAGAAAGAAACAAGGATTGCCACCAGCTCACTAGAAAGGACTGAGGGATGGGCCACATTTACTCGGTTTTCTACTTTATAATTTACATACCATAAAAATCCATTATTTTAAATTGTATGATTCAATAGTTTTTAGTATATTCACAAGGTTGTGCAGTGGCCACCACTGTCTAATTCTAAAACATTTTCATCACCCCAAAAAGAAATCCATTCCCCATTCCCCTCTCCCACCCCAGCCCCTAGCAACAATTCATCTGCTTTCTGTCTTTGTGGATTTGCGGACATTTTATATAAATGGAATCAGACAACATGTAGTCTTTTGTGTCTGGTTTCTTTCACTTAACATTATGTTTTCAAAGTTTATCCATGTTGTAGCACATAGCGTATAGCATATATCAGTACTTACTCCTTTTTATTTATTGTTGAAAAGTATTCTATTATATAAATTACCATGTTTTGTTTATTCATTCATCAGTTGATGAACATTTGAGTTGCTTCCACTTTTCAGCAGTTGTGAATAATGCTGCTATGAACACTCACGTACAAGCTTTTGTGCAGACATCTTTTCATCTCCCTTGGGTATATATATCCAGGAGTGGAAATGCTGGGTCTTATGTTAATTTGCTTTTGAAACACACTGTCAAGCTGGTCCAACACAAAGTATGGCTGACTTGATATCTTGGCCAGAGACAGCAAGGCCGCTCTGAGGCTTCTGGGGTCAAGGTAAACATGTATCAATGCCCTGCAATTGGGTGGATTGGCTGCTAATTGTAGGGCCACCTAAAAAGAATGCTGACTATCAAATGGATGCTGACACAAAGTTGGGACAGAATCTAAGCCCAAAAGATCTCAGCAAGCTGGTATGATGTCCAGGGATAAAACAGAGCAAAGACGAATGCAAGGTCCTAAAGACAGAATTTCCGTACGATCCAGGAATTCCACTTCTCAGTAGAATTCACCCCAAAGAAGTGAAAGCAGGGACTCAGATATTGGAACATTCATGTTCACAGCCGCATACTCACAAGAGCTGAAAATGGAAACAACCCAAGTGACCATCGATGGACGAGTGGGTCAACAAAATGTGGTATATCCGTACAATGGAATACTACTCAGTATTAACAAGGAAGGAAACTCTGACACCTGCCACGACATAGATGATCCCCGAAGACATTATGCTAAGTGAAAGAAACCAGACACAAAGGGATGAATACTGTGTAATTGCACTTGTATCTGGTACCTAGAATAGTAAATAAAATTCATGGAGACAGAAAGTGGAAGGTGGTAGCCAGGGACTGGGAGAGGGGGAATGGGAAGTTATTATTTAGTTGTTATTGTTAACACTGTTTCAATTTTACAAGATGAAAAGAGCTCTAGGAGGGATATTTTCACAACAATGTGAATGTACTTAAAGCCATCGAACTGTACACTTAAAAATGGTTAAAATTTTGGCTGTATGTACCTTACCACAATGAAAAAAAGAAGGCAAGGCCCTGAAGCTTAGCTCCCCAAACCAATTTCTCAAGTTCAGATTTTGAGAGAAACAGAGCTTAGTTCACAGGTGATGACCTGTGCAGATTTGTGATACTACAGCAAGTCAAGAGGGCGGCCCACAACCCGTGGGGGGAAGCAGCCACGATGGCAAGAACGGAAGTCCCAGATCCCTAATGAAGGGGGCCACGGTCCGCCCTGCCCCACTATGGTCTGCGCCGTTCCCGGCAGACCCCACACAGTGGGCGATCGGGGCCTGCTCAGTGGGGGTGCCCAAGAAGGCCACTGGACTTGAGACCCCACACAAGGACAGGGGTAGAGGAGGGAACCAGGAGCATCTGGCCCCAGGAAGTGGAATGCTTTCTCCGGACTCTGCATTTAAACTTCCCCATAGGTAGCCAGGCCTGGACTTGGTGCATGAACATGACAGAGATGGGCTTTAGCCAACAGAAGGACGAGCTTTCTGGCAAAAACAGCTGATCAGAACAAGACCGGGGGTGAGAAGAGCTCTGACAAACAGGCTGGGGGGACAGTCTCTGCTATGGGGAGTCCTAATCAAAGTAAACAGGCTTCTTTACAGTGTGGAACTTTCCAGAGCCTTCCATATGGCCATGTGTCTAAAACTTACCGGAGGGAAATAGAGCACACAGACTCATCTAACCCAGTCCTCTGTGTTTGGGATTTCCCACGGGAAGAACGCACATGTTGGCAACCTAGGGTTCCAAGGAAAACTTTGGGAAACGCTTCTCCAAGTGATTCAATATATGAAGGGTGGCCAGTTAAACAACCACAACAGTCCCCTCCATGCTGAGATTTTGAATAAATGTCGCCCACCACTTAGCGCACAGTTCTAACAAAGTTTGCAGAGAGGAGGAGGAGGGATGAATGGAAGAGGGCGGTGCACTGGAGAGGGGAAACTCAAGGGCAGGGGAGGAAAGGAGCCGCGGAAGGGCTTGGGCAGGAGAGGGGAGGGCGCAGAACCAGGAGAGGAACTGAGCCGGAGCATGGAGGGGTAAGAGAAGGCCAGGGAACAGGGCAGGAATCCGCCCTCACCCGGGGGGAAGGACAGACTGGGGCCCCTCGCTGTGGGTTGGCCCATCACTGGGCCATGTCTGTGGCGGGGCTCAGAGACCTTATTTCCCTGCTCCTTCTGATTGAAAGGTGTCAAGTTTGGAAAACTTTCCTTTAGGCCCTCAAGACTGAAACATTCTCCAGGCCTAAGAGCAAGGATAAATATATCAGAAAGGGCCTCAGCAAAGTCTGAGAAACAGGTTAAAAGAATTTCAATTTCTTTAAATGGGCAGGAAAGTTTGGTTTGACTGCTTTGGTGGGTATGTGCCTGGAAGCAGAAGCCCACCACTACAGTGGGCGAATCCCAGATAGAGGAAAGGGCCAAAGCTTCCCATTCATGTCCTGCCGGGAGCCACCTGCCTGGCACAGGAGGGCAGCCCCTGCAGAGACGTGGGGGCATCTCCCAGGCTGAGCAGGGCAGGGAAGAAAGGAGTCAGGAGCCAGCCACCACCTTCACTCCCAGCAACTTAGCAAAGGCTGCTTTCCTTTGTTCCTGCCTGAAGCAAGTGCCATGTATGTCAGTCCTGGCAGGACTATAAGGTGACCACATTAGTGGCATC